AGTGCCGCCTTATTTCCTTACTGAGATTCTTAATTAGTTTCTTTTTCGGTAAAGTAAACTGGATCTTTCTTCTTTCAGGTACATGTGAACCAATACCACCCATTCTCCTATTTGCTGGTGAAGCCACAATTCCGGGTCATTATAGTACAGTTCACGGTGCTAGATTGAGTGGTATTCGTGAAGCTGAAAGGATAATTCAGTTAACGAAACGTTTTGGCGGTCCACCAAAGAAAACTGTTGAAAAATAACGTTGTAATAGTACAAGAACCTAGTATATGTGGAGAATATGTCCTTGTTTTACATGTTTTGTCCAAGTACAAATCAGTCGTCCACGAAAACCCACTCAATTCACGTTGTGACCGGAATAAAATTTTTATCAAAGTGTAATATTCACTTCTTTCATTTGATAAATTTACCATTTTCGATCATTGTAAGTTATATATCCACTCTACTTTTATATTACGTACACACAACTTCAATAAAAGATATTTTAAGTTATAATTTTGAAGTTACATTATTTAATGTTTGAAAATATGGAGTAAATTTAAGCAGTTTTTCGGCATAGCTATTTACTCAAATTCCTTTTCGTAATATACAAGGTGTTACCTGTAACGCTACTCATGATTTTTCTCCTACTTGCAGCCACCTTACGAAAAAAAGTTTTGAATAATATTTGTAGGGTATGAAGTGCACGATAGACATTACTAAAGCAAATTTTGAAAACAGTTTGTTCTCTTGGCAAAGTCAAGGTCACCTTAGGTTTTTTAAATAGAAACATATATTTTTTTTTATTCATAGTTTTAGAGGACATCGAGACGAATTCAAAATACATATTACATGATATTTTTGTTAACATATTACTCAATTTACAGAAGTGGAAATGTGAAGTAAAAGACCGGAATATTACGTGATGGAAGGCGGCATACATTTTGAACATGCAATTAAATAAAGTGTATTTTTCTTGCATTCTAGTCGCGTGTTTACATTCAATAATCTCTTCGGAATCAAATAATGGTTACACTACCAAAGTCCAAAGCTAAGTATTTCACATTTCCTCTTCTACAAATCGAGTAATACGTTAATAAAAATATCATGTAATATATGTTTTGAATTCGTCTCGATGTCCTCTAAAGCTATAAATAAAAAAAAATGTATCATCCTATTTAAAAAACCCAAGATGACCTTGACTTTGTTAAAAGAACAAACTGTTTTCAAAATTTGCTTTACTAATATCTATTGTACCCTTCATACTCTGCAAATATTGTTTTAAACTTTTTTTTGTAAGATGACGGTAAGTGGGAGAAAAATCGTGAGTAGCGTTACAGGTAACACCCTGTATAATTAATTGAAAACTATGGAAAAAAGATTATACTAACAATTATTTTGTGTCAAGACAATATAAAATGCTTTGTACTAAATTCTATGAGTCAAATTATGTCGAAATCAATATTTGGTCGACTAATGATTTAAATTCTATAATGTTTGTTTATGCACCAGGAAATTTTAACTAAATATCGAGATGCACTGTGTAGAAGTACTTTAATTTAAACTAAAAACTTGTAATAATTACAACTAAGTTTCAACGAATTAGTAACTATCAATTATCGAGAGTTCGCTCGTAAAAATTCTGAATTACAGGAGTACGCCTGTGTACAATATTCTGTCACGAGTCCGCGCAACGTGGTTAACAAAGTTCTTACAAAATTCTGAAATGTTCTATACGATTCTTAACGATTCTGAAATATTCTGTCCTATTTTCCGAAAAACAGTCCTTTTATTAACTTATTAGAAGACAGTCGATGGGGGTGACTTCTGTGATTAGATGATTTCTTGTGTTTCTGTTTAGCAAAAGGGCGGTCATCTTTTCCGCGATTCGTTAGAAAATCCACGCCTCCAAAGTCCTGGTAAGCCTCAGGTACAGTACAAGTGACGCGGCTGGAAGTTCCAAAACACTTAACTCTGAAGTCGAGCACCTCATGACCCATCCTGATTGAACGCAGATGGCAAAATTTATGGCCCACTAAAACCATTTAGTTTTTGAAACGATGTTTTTCCTAAGCCAATAAATTATTCCTAACTAAACAATAAGTCCTCGTCCTGGGTTGCGCGTGTGAATTTACAAGGCTCACAATTTACAAACTTTTTAAAATACAAGTCCAAACATTGTTAATTATGCATGTCTTTCAGTCACTATATTTGAAATTTTTATCTTCCGTAATTTTCACATTTTTCAAATCTCCACTTTCCAATATGACCATATGTATCTATTTTATATTTTTATATTTATCCTTAACTCTCTTACAGTCCACCATTTTTATATTTTTAGATTTTCATCTCTAAATCACTATATTCTCAATTTTTATATTCCTAATGTCTACACCAAATTTCTATATTTCGAATATTTATACATTCTCAAATCTCTAAACACTTCAATTTCTATATTCCTAAATATTTATATATTGAAACCTTCACATCCTGAAATTTCTATATTATCTGCATTCTAGAGTCTACAATTTCTATATTCTCACAACAGAGCTCTATATTTCGAAATCTTTATATTTGTACAAATGTCTATATTCTTCAAACCTGTCAATTTTACAATTTCTATAAGGTATCTCATTTGAGTTGATATTTTAAAAAATCTCGAAGACGCGTGACTTAAGAAATAAAAACTGATACGTGTTCTTAAATATTTCGATTGGAGAGTCAAATATAACTTTTGTCTATTTAGTCGTTATACTTTAACAATTAAGAAACAACTTCTAAGCTTGTAT